GCTGTTCTACGACACCGTGCCCGACCCGTGGGTGGCCCGGGCCTACCCCTCCATGATGGGCCTGGCGGCCTGGTACGCCGACCTGCTGCTCCGCATCAGGGTGAGGACAGTCTCCCTGGGTGTCACAGCACACCCCCACCCCCTCAGGGCTGGAGGACCGTGGCTGTGAAGGGGGAGCGTGTCCCCGCCAGAGGCCTAGAGGCCCCCACTGGCCTGGCCTTCGTCAGAGCAGGGCCGGAAGGGCCTGGCCCAGGCCACACAGACGCCCGACAATGCAGGCGCTTCCTGCAAAAGGGAGGGAACAGCGGCCCGACAGCCCTCTGAGCCAGAGCCCAAAGCCCCAGGGGCACCATCCAGGGAACCGCCTTGTCAAAGCCTCCTTTGGGACCCCAAATTGTCCTCAGATGTGAAGCCGCTCCCCAGACCCTCCTCCTCCCATTCCCTCATTTAAACTGGCGCCAGCGGGCACCGGGCTCTGCTGAAGCACGTTTCCGCCAGGAGCTCGAGGCCTGGACGACAGACTTCACCCTGCCCACCACCGTGTGGCTGGCGGGCTTCTTCAACCCCCAGTCCTTCCTCACGGCCATCATGCAGTCCATGGCCAGGAAGAATGAGTGGCCGCTGGACAAGATGTGTCTGTCTGTGGAAGTAACCAAGAAGAACCGGGAGGACATGACGGCACCACCCCGAGAGGGCTCCTATGTGTATGGGCTCTTCATGGAAGGTAATGAGGGTGCCGGTCTGAGGAAGCTTCCAGAGCCAGTCCCGCTGAGCTGGAGGGCAGAGACCAGCTGGGAGGGGGCAGGTGGGAGAGGCGCGCGGAAGGGGCATGTCAGCTGGAAGCTGGACGCTGGTGGAGACGGTGGCGCGAGTCTGAGAACGCGCTCAGACAACGGTCCGGAGACCAAACCTGCCGCACAGGGCAGCCAGCCTGGCTCTGCTTGGCCGGAAACGGCAGGCACGTCCTTAGGTGTGAGCACCTGTTTCAGGGCAGTGAGGAACATGGCCCTCCCAGAGGGCCTGGGGGCAGGGACCCCAGGGCAGACGGACGGCTGGGGGCGCCAGTGTTCCCGCCTCAGTTCCACCTCCCCGTGGCCGGGCCAAGCAGCAGCAGGGAGGGCGCCAGCCGCCCCTACCTCCCTTGCCCTATGCCGGCAGAGAGTCCCTTAGACCTATCGAGCTGAGAGACAGCTTTTTCCACCACAAACTGTCCCACTCAGCAACTGACGCCACCCCCTTACCCGTGGGGGTGTCAGGGTTTAGCCCGCAAAGGCTCAGGGCTCCCCAATCCCCACGTCAGAGACAAGCACGACAGAGGCCGCTCTCCATGTTTATTTTGGAATGACAGGAAAGACACACACCATTAACAGAGTGAGTAGAAACGATAGCAGTCTGGTTAAAGGCAAATCAAAGTTCCGTGTGCGTGTGCACATATGATCGCGTGCCCTGCGCAGGCACACGCAGGCTGGACGATGCACATGTGACCTCCTGGGACTTCCAGCTGCAGCCACCACTTCCCGCCACTGAGGCTGAGAAGGCTGACGGACAGTTCTGAAAACACCACCCATGTAAACGGGTGGCCCCGAGAGCTTGAGGCAGAGCTATCCCTCTGAGGCGCCTGGCGGGGTCCCGGGGGTCCCGGCATGCCCAGCACTCGTGCCCGGTCCTCTGCTCAGAGCCCCACCTTCAGCCGAGCCTGTGCCAGTCTACCCCCTGGCATCCCCCCCCCAAGCCCCGGCTTGCTGCCGGCACACCACACAGCACCCAGGCACAGCCCCATGGGGCCACCCTGACCTCGCCGTGCTGTCCTGCAGGCGCTCGCTGGGACACCCAGACTGGAGTCATCGCTGAAGCCAGGCTGAAGGAGCTGACGCCAGCCATGCCCGTCATCTTCATCAAGGCCATTCCTGTGGACCGCATGGACACCAAGAACATCTATGAGTGTCCTGTGTACAAAACACGCATCCGCGGCCCCACCTACGTCTGGACCTTTAACCTCAAGACCAAAGAGAAGGCAGCCAAGTGGATACTGGCAGGCGCGGCCCTGCTCTTACAGGTCTAGCGCAGCTGGCGCCAGGTTGACAATCAGAAACTCAGCCCTGCAACTGTTACTTATTTTTATAGGAACTGATAGTTGCCTTTTGTTCTAAGTAACCCAGACACTTTAGAAGCACATCAAGGTAGATGGGCCAGAGGGTGGGGGCGGCGCTCAAGAGTGGGTGCGGGCTGGATTAAAACAGAAGTCACTAAGTTGCGCTTGTCTGACTCACTGGATCTGGGGGACTCCCCTGTTCCTGCTGCTGAGGCGAGCCCCCCAGGAACCCAGCCCCCAAACCCTGCCGGCCCACAAGCAGCTCGGAGGTGTGGGCACAGCAGCCATGGCCTCTGGCCTGATGCACCACGCAAGCAACCCACCAGCGAGGGGCCAGGGCATCCGTACCAGCAGGAACTGCCACCTCCACACAGTCCCCCGAGGCGTTGTTCCCTTCTCCCAAGGACAGAGAACCTTTCTTGATTCAGACAAAGCCTCCTCCCTCCCAGGTCCCGGGAGCTGAGACACGCCAGTCCAGAGGCAACTTTGTACTTTCAACAGCCCACTTTCTGAGCGTGCACAGAGAACATTACGAACTTGGTTCCTGGAACCACCTTAACGTGTGTCCTTGGAGGTCACAGGCTTGTCATGTCCACAGTAACTCCAGGAGGCCGTGGGTCCCTTTCCGGAGGCACAGCACCTTCCTTTCCTCCCACCCCTGCGGCCCCCACACCCCGGGGAGTCCCCCGCCGCACCCCGACTGCGGCCGGGCAAGCTGGGGCATGGGCAGTGCCAGCACCAGAGGGCCAGTGCCCGGCAGCCAGGGGTCCTGACTTCCCCGGGGACACGCGCTGCAGCGAGCACGGGAAGGCCGACACCCCCGCCCTCTGCCTATCTGTGTTCCAGGCCCTGGAACCTGTCCGGGGAGGCAGGACTAAGGAAAACCACCAATCTGATGAGGAAAAGCGCCCCAAGCACACACAGCCCGCTGCACCCGGGGGCCGGCACGTGCTGGTCCCAGGGCTACCCTGGGATGACCGGGCTGACGCCTCGGGCCCTGACTTTCCGCGGCCATTCCAGCCAAGCGAGTGGGCTGCCATTCGGGGCTGGCCGGGCCGGCAGCGCACGCAAGGGGAGGGAGGGAGGAGCCAGAACGCGGGGGAGCACAGGGAAGGCAGCTAGCAGAGCCTACAAACCCCCACGGAAGCCCGACACCCCTGATGTTCCCGGGCTCACATACAGAGCACAGGAGGCCCTCCAGGAGCATCTGGCCTCGGGCTAAGTTCAATCTGATCCTGAAGTTCTGTGAGAACTTTTTTCCAAGTAGTCTCACTGGAACCACAAGAGAGGAGACTCCACCTAAGGTAACAATCGCAACAGTCCTGGGGCCTGGTGGGACTCAAAAAAGAGAAGGAAAAACGCCCCTCCAATACTCGGGGGGTGGTGGCTGAGAGTCCAAGCCCTTTGGGGCTGCCCTGCAGGAAGACGGAGCTCCCACAGCGCTTGCTGGGCAGCCCCTCTGCCGGCCAGGAGGGGTCGCTGCTGCCCTTCGTGTCCCAGCCGGAGAGCCAGCGGCCGCCACTCCTGGGACTAGACAGACAACTACCAGCAGCCACCAGGCAACTCAGTTTTAATCCCTGGTAATAACTACAAAATGGGAAGGTTTTGCAATTTTGCCTGTAGAGCCTGAAATGAAACAGCAATTTCTTCCACACGTACTGTGGTTAGCTGACAAAATGACCTCCCAACTTTCCAAGAGATGATTCACCTTTGGGTCGCCATCCAGTGACAGGGACCCGGGGATGGTGCCTCCACAGGTGCTGTGGGACCTGGAGGCCCTGCCTCCTGGGGGGCCGGAGGGAGCACCCGGCGGGAGGGCCGGGGCCGGCTTGAGGTGGTTAGCGGAGACAAAGGGAGCAGCTGAGCATGGAGGACACAGGCCCTGACTGCTCAAGCCGGGCTGTGGCACAATGTTGACTCTGGTCCCACAGAATCTGCAGGAATGTGAATGCTGTTTACCGAAAGCCTCTCTCCAAACAAACCCAGTGCCCTGGCACATTCTTTTGGCTTCTCTAGTCTAATTGTCCCACAGGACAATTTAGTAACTAGTTTGAAGGCAAACAGTGTTAATGGACGTGCTGCTGCCCCGGAGCAGTGTAGCCACGGCCACCACTCCACCGGCCACCACTCCACCCGCTTCCCACCCACTAAACCCTGCAGATCTGCCGGCCCTGGCGGGGAGGGGCTGCACACGCTCTCAGCCTTCGCCGAGGCTCCCAGCACTGGAGAGCACCACGCACACAGCCAGGCTGTGTGGACGAGGCCAATCACGCCTTCCAGAGCCCACGAAGGGGACCATCGGCAGCAGCCAGTCCTCGGGAGGGAGCCACGTGAAGCGGCTTCTGGGGCAACGTGCAGGGTGGAAAGCAACCCGCCCTGACAAAGGATGAGCAGCCATACCCTGGGGCCCGAAGGCCTTTTCTTAGGAAGGTCTTTGTGCAAGGTTCAAGCACCTGGAGATGTAGAGATTGGGCAGCGAGGTTTTGAAATCTGCTCCTGGAGACACAGGGCAGTGAGAGGGAGAGGGGGGCACCCTGGCCTGTGACAAATCTACATGCTACGTGTTTTGAAGATACCCTGCTGTGAGGTGACACAAACCATGTTTTAGGCAGATGCAATAAAAATGAGGTTCATTCTTCAACAAAAAATTTGCAAAGAAAAACAAATGAGGGAAACCCACAGATGAAAAGAGACTTAGGTGACATATCACCATATCATGCGAGGTCTGGACCTTACCCAGAACCTCAAGTCAAACACACAGAAAAATTTTAATAAAATAAAAAATATAAGGCAAACTGAAACTGTGAACACATTCGGGGTATTTGATGACACTAAGGTATTCTTGCTCATGTTTCAGTCAGGTGTAATACTGGTACAAGGTTTGGGGTGGGGTTTTTTATGAGACTTTATATTTGGGGGGCTGGCAATATACGCATATTATCTAGAAATACAGACCGGTATGCAAATGTCAGAAGAAACAGGAGAGAGAGTCAAAAGTGGCTGCTCGGGAGGCAAGAGAGGCAGGAACCAGCTACTCGGTGTCAGATCTCTAGCATTTATTTCTAAATTTGTATATTATTTGAATAAAATAATAAAATAAGTAATGAAAATATGGAGGAAAAACTAAATGATGAAATTAAATATGATTTTGTTTTAATGAGAGAAGCCCGGCACCAGCACCCAAGGGAGCCCCTGCCATGCAACCGTGTGCACCCCTTCCCCACACCTGGCCTGGCTGCCCAACATCCCCACCCAGAGCCGGGAGACGGGTCCCCTCTGGGGCCATCCGGGGGGTGGGCAGGGTCACTTGGGAGAGGCCCCACCTCTACCGGCAGCCACACAGCCAAGCAGCAGCCTGGGTCAGCCTTGCTCGCGTCCCACCGTGGGCCCCAGCCGGTGGCCCCAGGCGCTAAGCGGAAGCCTCCATCCCCAGTGGCAGGCTCCTCCCAGGTGGGCAGAGCGTGTCCTGTCACCGAGCGTCCCTCCTGCTCCCACCGCCCTGGCCGCCTGCTTAGTGATGCCAGCCTGGGCTGCAGTGCTGGCGTGAGGTGACAGGGCCACCCAATCTAGCTTCGGGCCTGGAAAACTTTGGTGACAACCATGGTGACCCACGGGACAGAGGTCCTGGGAACCACCACCCCCGAGACAGAAGCCCCGGCCCCACACGTGGCCTCGCAAGGCAGCACCTGTCATCCTCAGAAGAAGTTCTTAATCAGCGGAGTCACCATCTTCACCCACAGCTTCACCTGCCGACTCGGCTGCTCAAAGGTGGCAGACGACACCACACCTGAGCGCAAGTAGAGCTGCTCCTGCTCCTGAGGGAGAGGAACAAACAGGCATTAGGGTCCTCCACAGCACTGCGTGACGTGGCCCGTCGGCCCCGATGTCCCATGTGGAGACACTGGGGCGCAGGGGTGCTGGGGTGCCAGGCAGGGGAGGCAGCCTGCGAGCCTCCCTGTCAAACCCGCCCTAGCGAGCAAGCTAAGAAGCCCGCGCGTCCCTACCCTTTTAAGACCAACATGTGTGTGGAGTAGATGACATGGAGTGAAGTAGAGCTGGCAGAAGAAAAGCACACAGTCACCCTCACTAAATAAGGCTGTGCAACTTAAAGACACATTCTTGAAATGGGAGGGTTTCTATTTTCTCAAGCTGGCAAAAAGCTGTTCTGTCTTGCAGTGACCCCAAGCCGACAGAGGCCGTGTGCTCTGCTGCCGGAGACGGGGTCACAGCATCTTCCAGAGAGCAACTTGGCAACAGGTATCAAAGCCTTAAGAAACGCCCCTTGCAAGAATATATCCCAAGAAAAAAGCCACGCACTCCAGATCTCTTGTGTGCTGCCATCTGTTACAACGACGTTTATGATAGGGAAAAACTGGAAACCACCTAAATGTCCACCACAACCAATTAAAGATAATAAACCCGTGTGACGAACCAGCATGCACCACACGCTGATCGTGTTCTAGAAGACGACACAGAGAATATAATCCTAATTTCATTAAAAAGACCGGTCATGCCTTTCCACACACCGAGAACGAGAGGGAATCCTTGGAGTGACTTCAGGGACATTGCTGAAAGCAGAGGCAGGTGTCTTCCAATTTTTCTAAATTTTTACAATGCATGTTTATTTTATATTTAAAAATGGGTTTGAAAACACTTGTATAAGCCTTCTCTTAAATTGTGCTCAGAATCTTTTGAGAGAAAACACTTTCTTAAACAATACACCCTCCAAGTCCCATGTTTCCATTAGTAAGGTATTTGACGAAGTGGCCAGGAAGTGATCCTACTGGGTCCCACCACTTGGGGCTGAGAGGGCGATCACTCTGGATCTTGCATCCCTTGGTCTGGAAAATACCGACTAGCCCGCACCATCATGAGGACCCGACAGAATGGCCTTGAAAACAGGGCCCGCTGTGAGCCCAGGAGCGCCAGAGGGAGCTCTGGGATGACGCTGCTGGACCCACCCGGATAGCTGAACGGGCTCTTCCCTGGGGGCAGGGATGACCCAGCAAGAACGGGGTCAGAGGACACGGCGGGAAATGTCCACAGCTTTCCCGTCCAGGCAGACCCAGAAGCCCGACTTTCTCTGCATGGTTTTCAGGCTCATGCCCTCTCCACTCTCTCGGAGCCAGGGTCCATGCGGCACTTCCAAGCTGAGCAGGCTCTTGGCTGCCAGCGGCGAGGGCCCCAGTCCCTGGCTGGACGTGCCTGACGGAGGCGGCGCCTGGGGCCTAGAGGGCGAGCCTGCAGAAGTCTCCACAGACCCAGCTCCAGCTTTATGCTTTCAAACAAATACTCAGCCAAGATTTCAATTAAATTACCAGAAACACTTAAGGTTCCTCACAGACCCCACAACAGGGCTGGAGAAGGAAGTCAGCTGATCAAAGTTACAATGCTGTTCGAGGGAGTCTTTCTCAGGTCACAAGTGGTAAACCGTGTTCTCTGAACAAAACCAGGAAGCTTTCAGTTTTTATAGTGCGTACTAAGTGAGGGGAGGGGCTTCGGATTCTGATAAAAATATCTCTCCATTCCCAGTGCAATACAAATAGGGCCCTTCCCTGTATCTTCCCGAGAAGACAGGGAGCAGGGACACGGGTGGCCAGGGTTCTAGGGACTTTCTGGGCCGTGGGGAGGCTATGTGGCCAGGCAATCCCAGGACCAGGCACTGTAGGGCCACCTGGCAGGAGTGGGGGGCTGCAGTCCCTGCATCTAAGTACATAGGTGGAATTATCTAGAAACGTGTTTCTGCATTTCAAAAGCAGAGAAATCAGTGTGCCTCGGAAGAAAGGAAGAGCTGCAAGGGCGTGAACTGCCACCCTCCCACGATCTAAAGCCCCTGGGATTCAGGTTTGGGAAGAAAAGGAAAATATCCCAAATATGTCATTTGGGAAAACAGCTCCTGACCACAACCGGCCCAGCTTCTCTCCAGATCCAGGATGTGGGTTCAATCCCCTCACTCAGGTCGGGGAGAGGGGCCAGTACCAGGACCCTGGGGCACAGGCCTGGGGGACTTGCCCCCACAAATCAACCCAGATCTGTGGGGAACTGGTCCTGGCCTGAGGCCTGGTTCACACCCACAACTCTACTGCCCCAGGGCAGGGGCTCACAGACCGAGGCGTCTCTGCAACTGGTCCAGAAGTCCAGCAGACCCCACTGGGGTGCGGCCCTGCTCCTCTCGCACCAGTGACTCCAACTGGAGCCTCAGCTGTGAGGCTTCCTCATTTTCTGGAAGCCTCACGGTAGCAAGAAACCTGCTGAGCGGCTCAGATTCCACACTAGCCACCCAGAGCACAACCGCTGCCACTTCCTCTGGCCCCTCGTCGTGAAGGCCTTCCCGGCACCAAAGCCCCACTGGGCCGCCGACAGGATTCCCAGACGGCAGAAGGCAGGTCCCAGGGACAAGGCAGTTACCGTGTCCTTGTCCAGCAACAAAGGCTCCCACAGTTTCGCAACAGTCATTCCCAAACACTGGAGAATACAAGTTTCACAAAGTCAACAGCCGAGGCTTCTGAGGTCTGGCCCACAGCAGCGTTATCTGTGTTCCTGTGACTCAGGAGGGAAGCTGGCCCCCTCCATGGAAAGGCTTTGCTGTAAAGGTCACAGACAAGAGTCCACGGCCCCGCCCCACTCTCACATGCACAGCACGGGGCTCACGCTCTCCCACAGGCCACGACACACGCAGTCCCACAAAAGCACTAACAAATTCTCAGCAACTTTGTTTTTCTCTAGACAGAAAATAAAATATTCTACCACAGAAGGAGGGCCGACATAGCTGCTGACCCTTTGGGAACCACCTTGCATCCCTGCCCCAGTGAGGAAATGGGGTTCTCCCCCTGCTTCTCTGGGCCGTTAGCCAGTACGGGGGCTCAGGGTCTCCAACCCCAGCTCGAGAAAGGGCTGCTCTCCTCACTTCCAAGTGGCTGAGAACACGGGCCCGACCTGTATCTTCCAAGGGGAGCAGGTGGGTCCTGGACTGGCCACTTGCGCCCGATGGCCAGTGCACCCCACAGGCTGAGCCAGCCAGAGTGGGTTAGGTTTCCTGAGCCCCCAGCTCCCACACTCAGGAGAACACTTGCTTCTCCCCCTCATGGACAGAAAGACAGAAGGACAGAAGCCCTATTACAACTGTGAGCATGAGGACAAGAAACTCCAAGATGCTGGAACTCCCCAAAGAAAAAAGGACCTGCTTTGCTGATCACCGTCCCCTGGCCAGGGGTAAGGGGCCAAGGCAGCCAAGAGTTTCTGCCCGCCCGCACATCGCCCACCTCCAGACTCCACAAACACCAACCAAGGGAACCCGGCTGCTGGCGGGCACACCCGCAGGCCCTCCGCACTGTTCCCAGTGCATTTATTCCCCAGCCAGAGCACCCCGCAGGGAGACAACGTGGAGTGAGACAGAATCCAGGTGACAGGTGCACACAGACTCTACGGCTCAGAGACGGAGGACGGGGCTGCCCATGCCATTGAAATTACTCCCTTCTCCACGAAGCCCCTCCTGCACGGGCGCTCGGGCTGCTTCCTGAGGTCTGCCTCTTCTGTCTCTACTGACAGAGACGGCTGGTGCCCTGAGTGCCCGTTCTGCCTTCCTGGCTGGCCTGTGGAGGTCCTGCTGGCGGTCCCGGGGCCTGAGTGAGCCTGGCTCCTCCCCCACACACCCGCTACGGCTGATTTGCATTCTTGCTAGAGGCTGGAGTGTCCCGGTGAGCCAACAGCACTCTTGCCCGCACCGGAGGGAGCTCTTGGGGCCGTGGGGCAGGAGCAGCTCAGCGGAAGCGGGGAAGGAGGGTGCGTGGCTTCTAAAGGCAGCCCTGTGGCGGGCTTCTCTCGGGACAGGCCTTCCAGCCACCAGCAAGCTTGTGAAGACTCGGGTTCTTTCTCACACTCGAGATGACAGCAGGGACTGTTCTCAGGGGACACGGCGACTCGGGCAAGGCTGAGCACCCAGCTACCCCCCACTCTGCCCGGGAAATCCCATCGTCCCAACCAACCTGGTGAAGCTGCTGCTGCAGGGCCCGGCTCTCCGTCACTATGGCGATCTGGGCCTCCAGGTCCCGGTGAACCGACCTGTACCCAAAATTAGGAGAGCCAATCAACGTGAGACAGGGCAGGCTGCTCCCTGCCAGGTACAGCCAGAGGCCTGCAGGGAAAAGGAAACGTGCAGACAGGAAATGAGCACAGCATCAGCCGAGAGCCTCTCCACGCTTCGTTCAACCTAAGAGAAAAGCAGCCCTGCTGGGAACAAGTGGTCAGGTGCTGCACAGAGGGCAGGGACCTGGGGCGCCCAGGTGCTGCACGGAGGGCAGGGACCTGGGGCAGCCCGCGTTCCCGGGAGGACGCTGCCTCCTCTCTTGCCCAAGCACAGTGAGAGGTGGGTCCTTCAGGAAGCCCTGGGAGGCCTGTGCTCAGGTTCTGCTCTCACCACCCCATGCTAACCACAGCCCCTCCCAGAGATCTCAGGGCCTCTGATACCCGCTCTCTGAACTGCCTCGGCCACATCCCGGCCATCGGAACAGGGAGCCCACCCTGGCCAGAGGCTCCATGGTCCTGCCACAAGCACCGAGGGGACAAAGTCCATACCTGTGTCTCAGGAAAGACACCCCCACTGTGCTAAGAAGGCGGCCCAGGGAAGAGCAATCCTCCTACCCAAGTCCGTGGGCATGGGGCTGTTCCACGGGGGTGGGGGATACAAAGGGTCTTGGTAAGTACAGGTTACTCCATTCTGCATCCCTTCCCACCCAGGGACACGCGATTCTCCGTTTCGGGCTGCTGACACACTACACACAAAAGGACACCAGACCTGAGTCCCTGCTAGGAACTCAGGGACATCCAAGCCAGACACGTGAAGTCCACTAGAGGCCAGTGGAGAAGAGAACCTAAGAGGTCCTGTAAGTTTCTATCCCACCCCAGAGAACACCACTTCCCCTTCTCTGCTAGGAAATGAGCCGGCTGACAGCACAGCCAGACAAAAAGCAGGGCATGGTATGACCAGCCATGGGGTAGGGGGACGGAGTCCTGCCTCGTCCCCCAGCATGCTGACATGTGCGCCGTGAAGGCTGCGGATTGTCTCAGAATCCTAACCTGTCCCTTGAAACAGACAACAGGCAGGTGGGTCTGCTGTGCACCTGGTCCCCCACACTCTGTCCCCTCCCCCAAGTCCCAAGGCCTGCTTGCACGGTCCAGTGCCCATCACAACTACTTCTCCTAAACAGACTACTCCCAAAACCTGACTTTCCCAGGACATCTGCTGCCCCAGACTTCCTTTCTCCCAGGGGAGCCCAGACTTGGGTCTGGCCTCTGTCTTTTCCTCCACACTACACCCTCACTAGCACCAAAAACGCTCAGCCCAGAAAACCCAGCCTACTGTCCAGTGCCGGAGTTGGCCCCGGCTCCGTGCAAGGCTCCCCTGATCAGAGCCAGCCTCCTCATGCCCTCCCACCACCGCTGGTCTCCCCTCTGCCAACATGACCCTTTCAAAGGGCCCACAGGCGCACATGACCATCATGAGCAAATCAACAACATGTAATACACACCAAGGAGCCTAAAATAGAAGGCCATTTCCTAATTCTCACTCAGAGCAAGAGCATTTCCAAGAATACCTTGGGTAAGAGATGACGATGCTCTGCTGTCTGTTCCTGTAATGTGCTCGACCCTCACCCCCCACACGGGGCCACATCAAAGCCGCCTGCCTGCCTGTGCATGTCGTTCAGTCAACTGTACCACCCCACGGGGCCACTGCCGTGTAGGCAACCGTGGGACTCACCTTATCTCCTATCAAGAGACCACGGGGGTGTGCCGGCTGGCCCCGGGCACTGTTGCACATGCCCAGGGAGGTCTGGGCAGAATGGCTGAGCCTTGACCACTGCAGTGCTGGCTCTCCTCCTTTGCTAGGCTCAGCCTCTCCCACCCCGCCTCTGCATGGAGCCGGAGGCTTGGGGCCAGGGCCAGAGGCAGACCTCCCCCAGCCTCAGAGCTTTCCGCCGGCCGCTGCTATCCCCACGCTCGTGATGTCACAATCTGTAAGACTCAGAAGCACCAGAGACGCTCAGTGCCCCTCGCGCAGCCAGCTCCCCAGAGTCCACTCACACGGGGCCGGGGGCGCACACAGCAGGGAGGCCCGGTACCCCCACGGCTGATGTGTGCTAAAGCTGGTGTGAACCACCCTCGGTGTGCCCATCCAAGGCTCCCGGACCACGGGGCCTGCTGGGCAAGACTGAAGGACCTGGTCTTAGGCGTATTTTTTATTTCCGAAATCTGCCTAAACGCAGATCTCTTCCTCACAAGGCAACCTAGGGGCCAGCCAGGGGGGGCAGGCAGCCTAGGCCCGGCCACACCAGCAGGTCTTCGTCTGCGCCACCGCACCCCAGCCCCGAAGGAAGGCTCTCTCGCACTGGTACACGTCCACGTGCTGCACAGGTGCACCTGGGCTTTACATTTAGTGAGACAAGAGCTGCCCAGCACCCACCTGCCACGATCACCCCACTGGGGGGGCGCGGCAGGCACCCGTCTTCTTCCGGCTTTCATCTCTGGCCCAGGCTGGCCTCAGGAGAGCGTGTGCGAGTGTGGGCAGCACACATTCTGAAGCCACTGGCCACCTCGGTGAGGCCCGCAACCGCCCCACCACTTCCCCTGTAGAATGTGGACTGTGATCTTTCTCCATCCAAAAGGACATAAAGACCACTGACGTTGAGGCCACGGGGTGCTGTGCCCCAGGAGCTCGACACACCGCCCCATGAACAGCCAGCCCTTCAGGGTGCAAGCTCCCCAAAGGTGGGACGTTTCTGCTGCTGGGCTAGGCCGGGAGGACAGCCAAGAAACTTTCATTCAGGGAGGGACTCAAGAGGGTGCATCCCTCGCTGGGAGCCCGAGCACACCGGGAGGGTGAGGGGCAGGGCGGGGGCTCTCGAACTTCCCAGCAGGGCCACAAACCTGTTATCAAGTCCAGGGCCTGACCTTTGTGCCCAACACCTCTACCAATCTAGGACCCGCCAGCCGGGGAGACTCCGCAGGAGGAGCAACAGCACGGGAGGGGACTGGCCGTGGGCAGTCCTCAGCCCCAGAGGGAACGTGCTGGGGACACACAGACGACTGAACTGAGTCCCAAGCCTTCTGCAGGCTCCCAGCTCCACAACGAGAGCCCTCACTGCCCGCCCCGGCTACTTCTTGTGCTCTGCCCACGCCTATGGTCCCTCCTCCACACAGTCCCAGCACCTCGATGCAGGGTAAACCAGGTGGCCCAAGGGCTCCCACAGAGCTCCCTCACCAGTCCTCGGAGCTTTTCCCATGGCCCGGCTGCCTTCCGGCCTCCCTCCCTCCTGACCTGCCCCTTCACTCCTCCCCATGCCTAGCATGGTCTCGGGGCCTCACACTCCCGGGCCCTCCACCTGGACCCTCCAGGCAGGGTCTGTGCTCAGCGAGTGTCCCCTCCACAGAGAGGCCTTCCCGACCCCCGACCCCCAATCTAACAGACCCCCATCGGCCCAGATTCTTCCTCCCGCTCTGGTCTTCTACATAACCCATTTCCCTACCTGACCTTATATTAGAATAGATTCATCTGTTTGTATCTGCTTCCTGTTAAATGACAGATGCCTGGGGAGGGCAGGGGCTTTGTCTGGTCCCCAGTGACTGGTACCCAATGCCCTGAATGCTGCCTGGCACACGCCAGACACTACATAAATACTTGTTTGAACAAAATAAATGAGGATAATGGTGATCTTCCAACACATGATGATGAAATTAAATACAAAAAACTCTTGAGTTCTAAAGCAGGAGTTCACAACTATTTCTGGTGAGAGAACTTCTCTGAGGCTCTCTCCAAGAAAAATGTCAACTTATGCCCCCTCCTTCACCTCTGCCACAATATTCCGCGACAAATTTCAGGGGATTCTCAGACCCCTATAAAAATACAAGGGGACAGGAGACACCATAGTCCCGACCTCAGAGGGCTAAGCACTTGCCTGTTACACTCCGGGCCACTTCCAGAGGCCGGGAGGCCGGGCCTGCCCCCTCCCCAGCAGAGCAGTCGGTGCAGGTGCGGCCCCGCCCCAGCGCACACCTGCTGGCGCCCGGGGGAGGCACGTGTGCCCGGGACACACAGGATGGAGCTGCCCCGGCTTGCACTGCAAGCTCACCTTTGGGCACTACGCCAAGCCGCCTGTCGGGAAAGCAGTAAAAATAGTGACAATTCTCACAATCATTAACAGATTCCTCTGTCAGCAGGAGCCAGAAATCTCTTAATCCAATGGCCTGCCCCGCCCTGGCCACACACATTGGGCTATTAGTGCTAGGGTACTGTACCAGATGAAATCCAAGTCAACACCTCAAAGCTCATTTTCTGATGAGACACAACCCCAAGGGGCTGTGTGCCTCCCCAGCCAGAAGTCCCGCGACGGCACTCGGCACAGCTCAGGCCCACTCCTCTCCAGGGAGCAGGAGACATGAGAACCAGGCCCAACAGACACAACTGTCATCCCCACTCAGGCTCCTCTGGGACTGCTGCCTCCCCAAGACCTAGAGAGGTTAGTTCGTTGGCACGTGACAGATACAGTGCTTACAACCGCTGACAGCCATTGTGCACCTGGCCCCAGACCCCACTGTCCACCAGGACCAGGTTTAAAAGGCGAATCCCTGTAGCCACCAAGATGTCCTTCAATAGGTGGATGGATGAATAAACTGTGGTCCATCCAGACAAGGGAATGCTATTCAGCACTAAAAGGAAAGAGCTATCCAGCCATGAAAAGCCGTAAGGTTTAAGTACCTTAAATGCGGGCACCTGGGTGGCTCAGCTAAGCCGCTGACTCTTGCTTTCGGATCAGGTAATGATCCTGGGGTCATGGGATCAAGCCTGCATCGGGGAATCTGCCTGAATCTGCTTGTCCCTCCCTCTCCCCCTCTGCTCCTCCCCTCACTCTCTCTCTCTCAAATAAATAAAATCTTTAAAAAAGAAAAAAAAAAGAACCTTAAACCCCCATTACTAGTGTAAGAGCCAGTCTGAAACGGCTACAGTGTTGAGTCCAACTGTATGACATTCTGGGAAAAGTGACAATATGGGACTGTCAGAGTCAGGGACGGACAGGAAGCACAGAGGATGTTCAGGGCAATGAAAGCCTGTGTGACACTGTGATGACAGATATATGTCCT